GTACAATCATGTCAGAGGAAAAGAAATAAAATGGGGAAATATATATTTCCACTGTCAATACATAGTATAAGCCTAAAGTAATCAAAATAGTGTAGGACTGGAAATAAGGACAGGTGTATGGATCAAAGGAATAGACTTTAGGATCCAGAAACAAAACCTATACATTCGTGGTCAGATGATTTTTTTACTTGACTGTCAAGACTATTTAATAAGGAAAGAATATCTCTTTTGGAGTGAAAAGTGAAAACATGAAAAAGGCCAGGCTTACTAGTCTGAAAGACACTGGTGAAGCCCCTGAGACAATGGCCTTTCATGACCCTTTGAACCTGAAAGAAAGCTTACCCTCCTCGGCTCAAATTTTACTAAAACAATACATTAGCTTATAGGATGAACACCACCATGGAGGCACTCATTCCTGCGAATAACCAAATATAATATACATACATATACACACACATAGGGAGCTCTGGTCGCCTAGTGACAAGAAGCTGCACTGCAATCCTGAAGGCACATGATTCGAGGCTACCAGCTGCTCCGCGGAAGAAGTATGGATAACCTCATCCCGTGCGATTGACTGCCTCTGAAAATCTGCCAGAGCGTCAGCTTTGGGTTAGTTCCAACTCAATGGTACACAGCAACAACGACAATACACACATACATATACATACAAAGGAACAGCATTTGCCCTAGGATAAACCTCAGAAGGCAAAAAGGGTAAGACAGAAGGTTTAATAGAAATGGGAATCACAGGGAGGAAGTGGGAAGAGTGTGGTTATACTGTATTATAATTAAAGTTATAAAATAAAATAAAATGTGTATGACTGTTGAACGTAAAACAAATTTGCTTTGTAAATTTTCACTCCAATCCCAATAAGAGAGAGAGAACAATCTCTCCAGCAAATGGTGCTGGGACAAATGGGATCTTCACCTGCCTTTGCCACCCCAGCAAAAGAAATGAAATGGGGCCCTTACTTCACATCACATACCAAAATCAGCTCAAAACGGATCAAAGACCTAAACAGAAGAGTTAAAATATCAACTCTTAGAAGAAAACTACATAGTGTACTTTTAGAAAGTTGACAATAGTTTCTTAGCTATTACACCAAAGGCAAAGGCAACAAAAGAAAAATAGAGAAATTTAATTTTATAAAAATAAAGGAGTTTTTTGGTGCATCAAGTGGTATTATCAAGAAAGTAAAAGGGAAATAGTCATCCTTTGTCCAGGTATAAAGCTTGGGAGGCAGGAAGAGGTAGGGGAGAAAGACAGAAGAAGGAAACACATGGCAGAAGTGGAAAAATGCTGTTCCATTGAGGGGAATATAATCACTATCATGAAACATAACGTGTATGAATCATTGAATAGGAAAAACCCATTTACTCTAAACTTGCATTCAAATCACAATCATTTTTTTTATTATGGTTTTTTTCTTTTCCTGGTGCTGTCAAGACAAATCTGACTGGCACAGGAGGAGAGTTGCCCATCTTTTTCCAGCAATGTATCAGGTGGATTTGAACTGCACATGTTTGGGAAACAATTTTTTAAAGTTAATAATATCACCAGTAAAAGAGAAACTATTTTTAAATCATGTATCTGATAAGAATCTAGTATTCAAGATATTTTTATTCTGATACATAAGAATATTTTATTCTACTTTATTTTTTTCATGTAATTGTTCATTATTTCATTTATAGATATTTTTAAACAAATTTTTATTTTATATTGGTTTGCATTCAAAGTTCATATACATTGTTTTCCACACTGATACATATCCTTTACCCAGCCCTTCCTCTACCCATCAAATTGTGCAACCCTATGATGAACCCCCTGCCCATCCTCATCCCTCTGCTCCTCCCCTCCCCCTTGGATTCCTACGTTGTTTTTGTTGTTGTTAAGTGCCTTTGAGTCACAGGTGACTCACAGTGACCCTATGAAGGAGAGTCCTCAACACTTGGGTGCCTTTCATCCTCTCTCCAGGTTCATAGGGTTTCTGAAGGCAAGCTATTACGGAAGTGGATGCCACTCCTCCTTCCAAGCTTGTTTTCATTGGGGAGCTCCACCCCACTCTCTATCCACATTGGGTACCCAACCATTAACGCTTTTGACACATCAGTGTCACAGTGTTCAGCCTCATAGCAACCACAAGTGATGGCTGTACGGCAAAAAGAACACCACACCACAAGTGTGCCCAGAGCCCTCAAACCTACCATGCCTCAAGTAGTCAGATTCTGGATTCAGCTGACATTAAATATCCCAAGACCCTAGGTGGGGCTTGACCTTTCAGTGTCTTAACAGCCCGGCGCGCCCAAATGCTGGCAAACTCCTTGCCCCAGACCCCCAGTTCATCTGGCAAGTCCGCTCTGCCAACCTACAACATAATTGACTGTTGATACTGAGTTTCAATGACTTCTTTCACAGATATAGTCAGTCTGATTCTTAAGCAGCCCATCAGGTAAGATTCATGTTAAAGTTATCATTTGTGCATTTTTAAAAAGGTAATTGAAAATACAAAATTTGTTCATTTAATTTCCAGCCTCATTTCTATCACCAAACCCATATTTTCCAACTACTCTTCCTTCTTCATTGTTTCCAACTTTTGCAACCCAGTCACCAACTATCATTAACAAATCTTGATTGCATGTTCAAACGACTAATTTTGGACTGCATGATTTGGTAAAAATTCTCATTTTCTTCCTCTTTGACTCTAGATATATTGCTGTTGTTGTTGTTAAGTGCCATCAAGTCACAGGCGACTCATAGCGACCCTATGAACGAAAGTCCTGGACACTTCCTTTATAACTTTCGTCCTTTCTCCAGGTTCATAGGGTTTCCAGAGGCAAACTATTGTGGAAGTGGATGCCATCATTCCTGCTTCCAAGCTTGTTTTAATCGGGGAACTTCACCAAACACTGTCCACCATGGGTATCAGTATTCGGCTTCACAGCAACCACAAGTTATCTCCATACAGCAAGTGGACATACCAAGGAGGGCCACGAAGTAGAGTCCCCCACCTTTGGCTTGGGAGCATGGCTTTCGGTCCACCAGGCCAAGTGCTCTCTTTCTCTCTCCACTATTGGTGGTGGGAGTGTTGTTAAGTGTCGTTGAGTCGTAGGTGACTCATAGTGACCCTATGAACAAAAGTCCTGGACACTTCCTATAAAACTTTCGTCTTTCTCCAGGTTCGTAGGGCTTCCAGAGGCAAGTTATTGCTCTAGATATGCTGTTGTTATGCGCCATCAAGTCGCCTGCGACTCGTAGCAACCCTGTGTTCAACAGCCCTAAACTCTGCTCTATCCTGTGCCAATTGCTCTGCCTCTGACACACCTATCCTGATTACCACAGTCACCGAATCAATCCACCTCGTAGAGGGCCTTCCTCTCCTGCACCTGCCCTCCACCCTCCCAAGCATGATGTCCTTCTCCAAGGACCAGTCTCTCCTTACAACATGACCGAAGTAAGTCAGACGAAGCCTCAGAATCCTTGCCTCCAAAGAACAGCCCGGTTTAACTCTCTCAAGGATGAATGTTTTCTTAGCAGTCCATGGTACCCTCAATACTCATCTCCCACACCAAAGCTCAAAGACATCAATTCTCCTTCTATCCTCCCTAGTCATTGTCCAACTCTCCGATGCATAACAAGTGATTGCAAAGACCATGGCCTGTATCAGACACATCTTAGTCTCTAAAGAGACACTATTGCTCTTCAGTACTTTGGAGAGGTCCCTAACAGCAGACTTTCCTATCACAATATGTCTTTTAATTTCCTAGCTGCTGGTGCCAAGAGTGTTGACTGTGGAGCCAAGCAAACTAAAGCTGTAAACAATCTCAATCTCTTCACCATCCATCTTGATGCTGCCAATTGGCCCAGTAGTGAGAATCTTTGTCTTGACATTGAACCTCAATCCATATTGAAGGCTGCAGTCCTTGAACCCCTGCAGCAAACAATTCAAGTCCTCCTCAATTTCAGCAAGCAGGGTTGTGTCATCTGCATAATGCAGATTGTTGATAGATCTTTCATCCATCCTGATGCCGCATTTCTCCTCATAGAGCCCAGCCTCACGGATGATCTGTTCTGCATACAGGTTGAAAAGGTATGGAGACAGGACACATCCCTGGTGTATGCCCTTCCCAATTTTGAACCATGCAGTGTTTCCTTGCTCTGTTCTGACGACTGCCTCTTGGTCCAAGTATAAGTTTCGCATTTGCACAATCAAGTAGTCTGGGATTCCCATTCTTCTCAGAGTCATAGATATAGTTGTAGTCATAGATATATCTCTAGATATAGGAGCATATATTTGAATAATTGTTGTGTTAACAGGTATTCGTGTATGTATATGGATAATATCCTATCACTCACATTCACTGTATTTCAGGATAGAACTTGAAATTTACTTTTTTACTATGAATACATCATCATTCTTCTTTTGGTTTTCATTCCCAGCATAGTATACCATATGATTATCTGCTTCAAAGTGGCCAAAGCTAGTCCATCTTATCTCACTAAAGCCTAGTATGTAGATGTTCATGCATTCTATTTTATTTTTAATAATTTCCAGTTTTCCAACATTCAAGCTACATACATCCCAAGTTCCAATTATTAAACAATGTTTGTCATTGCTTTTCCTCATTTTTTAACTTTTTTAATTAATTTCAATAAAAATTTACAGAGACTTTGGATTTCCATTCATTCATTGTTGCACTTTTCTAGTACACTACCCTCCTGAAAAAGTAAAAGAAAAATTATTTCATTGTTTTACAATCCCTCCCCCCAGGTCCACTCCACTATACAGCCTTTGCTCTGGACTCCTGTCATGATAAAAATCCCTAATAATTTTCCCTCTTAAACAGTTTTCTCCCTCATCTGTTTCAATGTCGTATATAATATTGAACCTATCCTTCTCAGTCTCCTTCCAACCCCGAGGTCAGTCCTGTTTGTTTTTTGTTTTGGGTTTTTTGTTTTGTTTTGTTTTGTTTTTTTATCTGTTGCAAAAAACTTTATTGTTTCATTTGGTCCAAAGCTTGGGCGAAGGGCTTCTGGGTGGATAAGATTCCACATCAGGGTGGGATAGAGACAGAGGTTTTCCCCTGCAAGTCCCCGCAAACCCTTGGTGGTGCTTGAGGGTGAGACGCTCAAAGAGATACTCGCCCAGCCCAGCCTGGGGGCCGCCCAGTCTTCTAATGTTAGTCAGATGGTCACCCATCTTCTTCAGAAGTTTCACTTCCTCATCCAGGAAGTGGTTCTCCAGAAAGTCACAGAGATGGGGGTCAGTGTGGGCGGAACCCACGGCGTGTAGATCCAGAAGGGCTTGGTTTAGGTTCTTCTCCAAGGCCAGCGCTGCTTGCATAGTGTCCAGGGTTTGACCCCACTCATCCTGGAATGGCTTCTGGATATCTTGGAAGAGGACTCGCCCACCACGCTGGTTTTGCAGCTTCAAGAGCTGCTTGGCACCCTCGTGCTTCTCATTAGCCAACTCGCGGAAGAAGTGTCCCATACCTTCCAAGGCCACATCATCGAGGTCAAAATAAAAACCCAGAGAGAGGCAGATGTAAGAGGCCTGCAGGTGCAGGTTGACCAGACGGTTGACGCCAGCTTCTGCTTCGGCGGAATAATTTTGACGGATCTGAGAGCTCATAGTTGGTCGAGATTTTGGGGCTAACAAAAAAAAGTTGTTAGCTGGTCCCGAAAATAGGAGATGATTGAGATGGTCCCG